CATATTGAGAGTAAATACCATCAGTGAGGTAATACCCCATATTGTATTGATGGCCATTTATACTGAAATTGACATCAGGTCCTTGACTGTTAGCTACATCTTGGAAAAGGTAAGAGCGGTCAAGGACGTTGAAGTCATTCAAAGACCCAGAAAGACCAAAAAAGGCATGCCAAATCCAGCGGTCCTTGGAAGCGACAGCTTCAAGGATGATCGTAGGGACCTTTTCCTTGCCCTTGTACATCCCATGCCAGCCAGTGGGACAGTTTTTCCACTCCCAATGCATGCAGTCCAAAGAGCCTAGCATACCAGGAAATCCTCTCTCCGAATTTTCTCTCAGGATTCGTTCCACATCTTCATTGGTAGGTGATCGAAGGTATTCCTCCCCGTACAATCGAATAATGGCCTTGCAAAAATAGCGCAAGGCATTTCTACCGGTGGACTCGGCCATTCCATATTGATCATCCAACATGTCTGGTGGAACACCGTAAGCAAGTTGGCGAACAGATATAGCCATTTTAAGAAGACCTGAAATGCTTGATCTCCCAGTTGCATCATTCTTCTGCTTAAAATAGTTATCCTTGTTTTCCAAATCACCAAGTATTCTCAAAAACAATTCCTTATCCATTCTAAAACAAAGACGAAAATAAGTGTCTGGATAGGTAGGATTCTCGACGAAGTATTGCTTAAAGAGTCTTTCGTGCTCCCCTTCTCTGTCCCGGTCAATATGTCTCTTTTTCTCTTTGACAACCTGTTCTGTCTTTCTCTTTTTAAATGCTTGCAATAAAATGTTTTTATTACGATCTAATCGCAATTGTCTTTGCTTTTATTCATCCTCAAGAAATTGTGCCATCATGTTATGCTTATTCATGTTTACAAACGTTAAAGAAAAAAATCAATGTAATTATTTTTTGACCGCTGCGGACTCATTAAAAAAAGGGACTACATTTTTAGTCCGACCGGAAAATGACCCATTTATTCAGTGAACCGCTGCGGATGCTCTTACATTGTTGATCATATTTTATCTCAGACTCTGATATAACGGGTTGTGGCACTGTGTACTTTATCTAACGAATAAAACCCTTCAAATACATAAATTAAAATAAACAGCTAGTTGGATCTATTTTCAAAATACTCTGAATTATATCTCTTAAATATGAAGCGTTTCTACTTAGTACATAAAGTTTGTTTTATCCTTTTTGTGACTTACAGGGTTGACAGTAAATGTCCTCAGACTTGGATTTAATAGGCTGTGATACTACGCATGCGGGTACTCAAATTGAGAGTACAGGCAGTAAGCATTTCATGGTCCGAAGGCGGCAAATATTATACGCGGGACAATACTATTGGTCGGAAAAGAAAAATTTAAAATTTCGCACCTGCTTGTGACAATTATTTCCTCCCAAACCAAAATCCAGTTGTAAAAATCCCGGACACACTTTTTTTTTTAGAATAAAAACTTCATATTCCCATTTTAATCATGATTAAAATAATATATGTCCAAAAAATATTGGACTTTAATTATGATGAAGGTGTGGTGGTCCAGTTTTGACGTTTCTCTCTGCTTAAATTTTTTTTTTTTGGCACATTGAAGTCCAGATGCACTCTATGTTATTTTCGCGTCAGGAACCAAGAAAAAAGTAGCCAGTAGATTTTATGAAAAGAAACTTGAAATTTGGAACTTGAAATTTGGAACTCACTTGAACCCCCCAAAATTATAAATTATTCTATTTTATCTCTAATTGATATTAAGAGACCGAAAAGATACGACACCACCAGCTATTTTATGTCTAATTTTAATTTAGCGACGGAAAAAATTTACGACAAAGCTCTGAGAAAAATGTTAATGAGCGGTCATAGAAAGACATATATTAAACCAGATGATACAAGCGGTCACAAGCTGCAATGGGGGTATGCGAATGGTATGATTGTATCTTTCTCTGATGGTCGAGAAACGACCGTAGTACTTGGTATTACAAGATCCTTATTCATAAAATCATATTTCTATTATTAAATAAAGTTTTCTTTTGTTCGTTTTCTATATATAAATTCGAGACTATATCCTTTACGTAATATTGCGAATTTGTGTAATTAAAAACAACGATTATTTAGAAACAGTTAGCTTGTCAGATATAATTTTATACTAAGCTCTGTACAACTTCAATTTCGATATAACCATTTCACAAAACTATAATTTAATAAAGATTATCTTTCATTTACTATACTCAGCTTAACATAAGCACATTTATAAAAAACCTTCCGACGAGCTAGTCACAAGGTAGATATAAACCCCTCGTGTCGGAGTACAAATCTTATATATATATCTTAATCATACAAAACAACAAAGACTATCTTTTATCAACTACTCTACTTTTCTATTTCATTACACACATATCAAGGTCAGACCTCCACACTCGCAACAAAAGGGCCTTATCCATAGGTGGGGACCGTTTTAAAAAAATGATTTAACTCCTTTATTTTTGGGTGCCTTGTGCCACTCATTTTTTTTGAAAAAAGAGATTTTGAGTGATATTTTTATTATAAAAAGTTAAAAAATGTTTCTTGTAATGGGCTTGTTTTTTAAAAATAAAAAACAAGGCTTTACTTATTAATGGGGGTTTTAGAGTTGGTTAATTTAAGGATTATCAATGAATTTACAAGTTATGTCTTTGTACCGTTCAGGACAGTTGTTATCACGACAAAACCCACATTTGTTCATGCATGATTGTGGCTTTGATCTACCACTACATAAAAATGCATTTTTACAAACGAAACAAGTGCTAGGTGATCTGTTTATCTTTTTCGGTCGAAGCCGTGTGTCTATTTGATTTACAACAATTGGAGAATCAGGCCGAGAATCACAGGGAAGGAGAATACGAGGTGAGGCGGCGTCGACTGTCTGTACATTTACACGGCTCGATACAATCGGTGACAAAGTTAAAATGGGGCTTGGAGAGGGAAGCAAATGCCGCTCATGATGTTCTGTAGTGAATGAAGAACAGTTGTTTGCAACAATACTTTTTTGTTGACTAGAATAATGATTTATAAGTGTAGGAGCTTTTGAAGCTGGGACAGGGTTCATTATTCTGCTGGATTGACGGTTTCGCAAATATTCTCGTTCAGTAACGTCGTATTAGTAAATAGACTTGCTTCTATCCGTCTGGTAGTATAGAGCTTTATGTGTTTTGATGTTTTATAGTATATATTGACACCGTCAGCAAACGAGGACCATAATTTAGCGAAAGCATCCAAACCAGGAGCTTTGCTATGTCAATTAAGAATAATTCTTCTTTTCTGGTTAAAATCAATTTATTATATAATACTACTTCTTCTTTGTATGAATAGGTACTATTGCAAAGAGGGTGTATTGTCTGTTTGCTAGATAACGATAGACAAACTTTCGAGCTGAGTAACATTGGCTTCGAAAATTGAAAATAGGTCAAACGCTTCACTGCTGCAATTTTTGATTAACCATTTCTGTTGAAAGGTGTTCCAAAACTTGACATTCTAAGCTAGGCTTCATGGCATACATGTTCAAGAAAAACATATCCAGTGCTGTTATGCCAAATGTTTCTACTGATTCCCCCACAAAGTCGACCGGGAATTTTTTAATATGGTGAATAGTATAATTCTTTACAGGATTGCGACCAAGGTAGAGCCTCATCATATTTATACATTGAGTGACCCAAGGACTATAATGGCTTTTATGAACTATACCTTCGCGGTCTCTGACCCCAATGTATAGGTTACATACGTTATTATTTAAAATATGTGCTGCTTATATGCCAAATGAAATACCTCAATATTATGATACAATTTAAAATCAGCTAGAACTGAATTAGCAAGACGAAGACCAGCGTTGATTGACAAACAACTTCTTTTTAAGGTTTGGTGGGATCCCTCAACGGAACTAGTATCTCTAGAACTTGCATACTTCATTAGGCCATACTTGTCTTTTCCAATTTCTCTATACAAGGGTGAACCATGTTCAATATCAGAAACATGCCCTAATTCAATTGATTTAAGAATGATATTAGCAATTCTTTTGCATCATTGATCAAATAGAGGTAATCCTGTTTTGGCAGAAGCAAGTGGTTCGTACAACTCAAAGATAGCTTTAAAGCAGGAAACAGTTCGGTTTGTGGTGGAATCTTTCTTTTAACCCGTTTCAAAATAAAACTTGAATTACTTGACATATACGATTCAAAATATGTGCCGATAGATCGCAGGTAAAATTCAGCGTTTTATTTATCGATTGAATCATACACAAATAGAGCCTCTCCGAATGTTCGGTAAAAGTTTCTATACATCCCGTGCTATTGCAAAAATGGTGACATATCCATAAGATAGAACGCATCTTTTCAAACCCGAGAAGGAGTCCCACTTTCTACCGTAGGTTACATACAAACGTTAATCGATAATTAAGCGATACTATTAATTGGAAAGCGGCTACTTGGACTTTTTTTGGCAAAGGAAAGTTGAGCTCCAGAGGATCATTTCAACAATTTATAATCAACAAATATATCGAACGGTGTATTGTCAAAACTTGTAGAGATACAGAATTATTTGATGGAGACAAGAGGCTCGTATAACTGGACAATAGAGTGCCAAGTATTTTTACATCGATTATTTCAACAACTGTTTCCATTTCATTCGTTATGCTTAATTTTTTTTTCGATATACTCCTTTGTTAATGGATGTAGCAAATTCAAATATGATCCCGCTTTTTTCAGATATCCAAAGGGACAAGGATAAATCTTACAGAATGTTGTATACAATACGGGGTTTCAGAATCATAATCCTTAAATTCTGCGAAAATATTTCTGGGATATGATTGGTCAATGATTATTTCCAAGTTCTTGCAACAAGATAGTTGCAAAAACAATAAAATAGTCTAATTTAGTGTTCCATGATCCAATATTTCATGCTTCATCGACATATTTCACTTATTCATTGCTTTTTTTAAAACGACTTAACATAATAAACGATTCAAACTTTTAACCATGAATATTATGACGTTTTTGACAAATGTTACTGATAGTCACCCATCTCCAGTCGCTCCTAACATCCGCAAAGATAAGGGTAAAGAGAGGGAAGTGTTACCCAGAAATGTCGAATTAAACAAAAAGCCAGAAATAAGACAAGCGGAAGGCTCTACAAGTACCCAGTCTGATAATCAACATAGAAAAAACAGGTCATGGTTTGTCGGGGAAGGTGATGACAATAAACCGGCAATGGACCGTGTCAAGGACTTTTTGTTGGAGAACAACGGCAAGTACCTTGATATATGGAGTGGTATTCCAGATAAAAGAAAGGGAAATACAACCCAGGGAAAATCATGACCATGGGTATCTCAACAATGTGCGGACGAGTTTGCCAAGCATGGCGTCAAACGAAAGGATGAAACTATTCGCACCCAAATTATGAATATGTTGGCGTCTTATGGAGAAGCGACAAAACTCTTCTACCAAACGGGTGCAGGAGTTAAAGGCGACGTCCCAGGTGTAAGCATGTCCGAAGAGTTCAAGAGTAAGCGATGTAATATATTGTCTTTTATACCATGCTCACCTATAGATATTCGTAGAAACACTATTGGAAAATTGTCCCAAGTACTTCGAATTTGAACTACATCTTTCTGATAGGTTTACGGACGACTCTTGGCCTGCGGACACAGGAACTATTCAAGATAAGCCTTTCAATAAAGAAACGTTTATTGCGAGTACTCACAATAAGCGATCGATTGATGACGTTGCCGGTGAAGAGTCTGAGGAGGATAACGAAGATAAAAAGAGCAAAAGAAACAAAAAACAAAAAAAACAAAAACTCCTATGTATGATGAGCTTATGGAACGTTTTGCAATTGAAACTGGAGCTAATGGCAATAGTGCTGGTAGAAGTGAATCAGGTTCGAATGCTACCAATGACAGTGAAAAGTCGACGTCTGTTGCGGCTCTGGAAACATGCATAAAAGAAAGAATAAAGCAGAATGCAGAGCCCAAATAGAACGATAGTCTTATGCAGACAGATAATCGTTGTCTTGAGCTTTTAAAACTAGGCCTGCCAATTGAGACAGTCAACACGATCTATGAACAAGAAGTGGAGCTTCTTAAAAGAGGTCCGTTAGAATAATAAACTATTTTTTTTTATTTTCTTCAAATTTTCTAACTATTTTTGACAAATTGTCCCTTTTTTTTGACGCCATGTCCCTGGCGACCTTCTGTTCTTTGGCACTTTTGTTGGAAGAAACAGTGGGCTCTAGGTCAATAGCGTCACTTTTGGGCTGGGGTGTGTGTCCGTTGTAATCATTGTCATCATAAGCAACATCATCCACATCATCCAAAAGCATGTTACGCAACATGACGCAAACAGGTATCCAACGCATAACATGGTACGAGTCTTCTTTAACGTTGATCTTGCACCAAAGATTTCTAAGACTGCCAAATCTCATCTTCAACACCCTAAAGCAGTTCTCAATGCTAACTCTGGTTCTTGCATGCAGGTAGTTGAATGTTTTCATCTCCTTGGTATAACCACCTTTTTCATTGTCTCTGTAAGGGATGATTACATTCTTTTCCAGACTGTAAGCAGAGTCACCCAGGAGATACTCCTCATCTTCAAAGTACTTGTCCAGATTTTTTCCAAGTCAGAACTTCCAAAAACTCGAGAATCGTTTCTACATCCAAGAAAACCGGTTGCAAAAAAAGTGATTCTTCTGTCTGGATCACAAACGGCCGTCCTTTGAATGGAGTATCTTTTTTTTCTGTTAAAGAACTTCAAACCTCTGAACTTTTGTTTATATTCCAAATTAATGAGGGTCCGTCAACAAAGCCAAGACAGTCTGGAAATCCATTGTTCTTTTTGGTGATGTCCTTAATTTTTTCTTTTTGCTCCTTGCCAGGCCATTTAATGACATCGATCTCCATAGCCAACATGACATCAAAGAACCTTGTTGTAAAGGCATGAACAGACCCCTCACTGATGCCTGCTAGCCTGGCAATTCTTCCAACTGAAGCGCCATTTCCATCGCTTCCCAGACAAAGTAGTACTACCATCAGTTGCTTTCTGACGCATGTTTGTTGGCCGCCTGATTCAGAAGACTGATAGAGCCTGTGTCCTGACACCTTGGTCACAATTTTTTCATACGATTCTTTGGACATTTGCATATCTTGCTTAAATCTGGTCTCATCCAATGAGTCAACAAAGCGTTCCCATCTATCAGATCTTCTAAGGACACTTCTTCTAGGTCTCAGGTACCGATGGCTCTCCAAGGATTGAAGCTTCAACAATACGGGATCGTTCATGATGGCGGTTCTAGCCTTGGCTATCTTGTCTTCATTAAATTCTTCGTTTTTCATGTTATTTAAGGTAGCTGCAGCCTGTTTTAAATGGTTTTTGGGAGCTTCTTGAGCTTCTTTAAGCAACTTTCGTCTTCTGGATACTTTTGGCATGATTTTAAACGTAATTAATGTGTTTTGAATGAAAAGAGACGACATTACATTATCTTAACAATTTATTTTTTAGTATTTCACTGAGGGGGGGTACTCAGAAAGTGATAAATATAATTGGCTTCGAAAGTTACACCGTTACTTTTGCAAACTTAACATTCTTGATTCTGAAACCCCCTAATGCAACCAACGTGTTTTCAGCCGTCAAGAGATTAACATTTTCATTCACAATTCGGTAATTTACCAGTTTTTTGAGAATGATTAAACCAGCATACGCATTCAAAGCAGCATATTTGATTTGCTCTTGAATAAGTTCTGTTCCATTCCAATTTCCACATCTGTATTTTGGGTAACTGTTTGTTCAGAACAAGAGCACAAATAGTGGCTAAAGAGGCAGATCTGTTTTTGGTGACACCTTTTTCTTTGCATAATGTTCCAATATCTCTAAGACCCTTCGAATCTACATCATATCCTCTTCCTAAACGTGAGAAGTCCCTAACTACATTTTTTTGATCTGGTCACACTCCAAAAGTTGCTTAAGACTTCTGGGAAAGTCTGCTTCAGAGAGATCACATGTTCGAAACAAATAAACTTCATTTTCATTGCAAATCTGTACAAGTGACACCTCGTTCAAAGCAGCCTCTGTTCTTCTTGGTCCGGTATTGAATGTGGCGTGGTTTCTTGCTACCCAGTCACAATCAAAATCAACATAGATGGGAGTCGACGTGTTTATTCTGTTGTTTATATTCTGGCAGGCATCATTAATGTCTTCAACGATGGAAAACACCAGCATATTCATCATTTCAGGCATCTTCAAATCGTCTAATTCCATGTTCTACTCTGAGTTAAAAATTGAACTTGTCTGCGATGAAGTGGATCTGCTAACATTTTTTAGTAAGCGTGGCAGTACATCTTCTAAAAAGTTACGATCACTATTTACGTTGTCCTTGTAAAACAATCAAGATAATTTATAGACATTTAACTCGTAAGATTTTGACAATGCTTTGAAGGGCAATAAAAGATGTGTCAGAGTTTTTCGAAAGAGCCATAACCTGCATTCTTATCTTCTTGTATTCGTTCAAGCATGTGCATAATGCGGAAAAATTGGGTCCACCATTAATTTTTCCCATATGGCCAGTTACCTTAAAGGAATAATTATGTTTGAGAATCGTGCCGTCCAAAGACATCATATGCCAGTCGAAATGGGATCTAATCTGGTCAATCATGGACGACTAAACAGAATTCAAGTATGAAGGAGAAGGCAAATAGCCATTGTACTTTTTTTTGTCCAAGAATGCAGAACATTCTGGAGGTCAATCATTTACAGCAGTAGATTTCTTCATCAGAGAATTTACATCAGGATGTCCTTTCTTATCGGAGGCAGCATCTGTAAGAGGTAGCGGAAGAAGGTATGATATAAACTGAGTTGTATTATAATTGTGGTGATCTAGTATATAAGTACGAGATCAAGAGTTACACAACTCTTACACTATCCCCCTATAAAGGACTTATCGCTATTTCACGAAGTTATTGGCGCAGTTTTCGAAAAAAATTCGGCTCATCGAGAGAAAACAATTTGGTTGAAAGTCCGAAATAAAATAGATTTATTTGCAAAAATAAAACTGGTTCAGATATATATAAAAAAAAGGCTTAAAAATTATTAATAAATTGGTACAAGTCGAGGGTGAGAAAAGTGCGCAAAATTATAAATGCATTATAAGGGTTTACGCTCAATACAATTGCTGAACTTTGCGACAGAATACCTACAGAATCCTTTCAAGTCACTCAAGAGGACTCTATTGCTGGCGTCTTGGATCCTGGAGGTCAAGCTTTCTTCACTTAAAAGCGTTTCTCTTTTTAGCTTACTCTTACACAACGACCAAAACTGTTCAATGGGATTGAGCTCAGGTGAATACGGTGGAAGATAAATGCAACCGTAACCCCTGCCCTCAATATACAGCTGTATACTCTTATTTGTATGAATGGTCGCCTTATCCATAATGATGTAATGCCTTTTAAACTTGTCATGCTTGTCCATAACATCCAATGTACTGGCTTTAAAGTTAAAGTAGTGGCCTGTAACAGTACCACCTTACCCTTTCACATTAGTAGAATTCACTATACCCCGATTTGCTTTCCTTTTCTTTTTGTGGAGATACCGCTTTTAGACGCTTAACTCTCATACGTACGGGCTAATTATACGCGCACCATACTTTTTGCTTGAAAAACAAATTCGCGCACCATACTTTTTTTCGCGCATAATCGATGCAAACATGATGTTAAAGAGTTTAAACAATTCCATCACTATTCCTACTGTGCGTTTCAGTTAAATCTCATGTTTATTTGTCTAAGTTTTGTTTTTATTTTTATATAATTTTAAGGATAAATGTGATAAGAATAAGTATAATAAGGATAAGTGATAGGTAAAAAAATAATGATTTAGTTATTTTGATAATATTCAAATACGTCGTTAACACAGATGTGCCGTTGCGCATTGAATATGTTTTGATGAGAAAAATTGACGGTTGGCCATTTTTTGGGGATAATGGCTTTCTTGGTTTTGGAGTCAACAATGGGCTCAATCATATAGAAATGACTGTTAATAAAAAAAAGAATAATAGGTTTATTCATTTTCTCCAAATCTAAACCAAGAAATAGCACAAACGTTATTACATCCTTGGTATAAATGACGTTTCCGTCATCATCCCTCCAAAGATTATCGTATTTGTCTGTTTTTTGGCATTGTTGCATGCAGGACTAGGGGTCGTGTAAACGTATCAGCAACTATTTGTGGGTAGCCATAGCAATCAAACCAAAGATTCAAATTGTCAAGACATGGCGCTTTTGTTGACAAACGTTTTTTTGTTATGTATGCTTCGTTTAAACCGTAGCTGTCATAAAAGGAGTCAGCATACTTTGAAAAAGTAGCCAACATCATTTTGTGACCTGGATCCAGGCTTCTTTGTGTCCAAAAGCAGCAGCACTGACAGCGCGAAATCCACAATTACCATCGGGAATGGGATTAACAAATCCGAGAACATCGTCGGCAAACTGACTATCTAGCATCTCCAAAAGATTACTATTGTCAGAGTCGCGTGTTATCACTTCAGGTGGTTTGTATCTAAAAATTACAAATATTAATACCGTCGAATATTAAGCAGGGTATAAATTTACTTTGATCTGAGCTTATTGATGGCTGTTGTCGATGGCTTACGAAGACTTGGTTTATTTTTTTGGCTTTTGTTATTTTCTACTTTTTTTTGTTCTTGTTTGATTTTTTTCACATTTTTTTTGCTTGCTAGATATTTTTTCGTCTTCGTGCTCCACACCAAGCTTGTTTCGTTTGGTGCCTTTAGGACAACCCTTCTGGATTTCGACAATTTTTGGTGGGAGAGTGTTTTCTAAACCATCGTTTGAGTACTTACTGAACAAAGCATCCATGTCTTTTATAAGATCGACGGATTCTTGTTGGCTCCCCAAAACCTTGCACAGAGACATTAATTTATCCAGTCTTAGTTGGATGTCTGTTGTATTGATGTTC